CAGCATCTGAACCTGGAAGGTGACATTCGGCACTGTCCCCTGTAACAAAGGAGTGACACTTCCTCTTAGGCCAGAAGTTGACTGTGGTCTTTCACTTCACAAAGAAATTAGCTGGCCAACTAGGTCTGTACAGATCATATGGCCAGTACTCAGCGCTGTTGCTCTCCTCTCCTGACATCACTTGTTAAAGGAAGAGGCATGAATTTGTAACAAAAAGGGAGAGAATCCTGCAAGCAGCTCTTTAAATCGTGACAAAAGCAGTGTATGTCTTCCTACAATGTTTTTGCCAGACATGCTCAATATAGGTTTCAAAGTAAGCTGTTGAATCTTAAGAGTTTTCACCTTCTATAAAAAATAAAGAGCATTTAGGGTTTAAATATGCACAGTCAGAAAAAAGTCACACCACTCGGAAGAACATTTCAGATGTGGCATTTAATCCTGCTCCATTTAATTTGTAATATGTTGAAGCTAATCTAGGTTTAACTAAATCCCATGTTAAATACCCTAGATGCCATTCTAATACTCTAGATGCCTTTCTGTTCATACTCAGAGTAAATGCATCTTGCAGATATATAGTGCCATGACAGCTTAGAGGTGCTAAAGCATGGTTTGCCAACTATTGTATGTACCTTGCCTCTTCTGGGATCTCCTGCTTTTACGAAATTCAAGGTTGGGTAGTTTGACAAGTTGAAGTACGTTTTACCTAAAATGGAGAGGTATACACATCTAGTAGATTTCTTTTATCCTTTTTATATAAATAAGAAAAATTTGGAAGTTAAATTTCACTAGTAAACTTCAGAATATTTATGTTGGATTAAAACACCCACAAACTGAACGTCACCCCAGTAATATTCGTGTTCTGATTTTAAGTACAAGGCATTTTAGATATGGAATTTTTTTATGACAAAAATAATCATGTTTGGGCTTTTGTTTGCTTCTCTACAATGAACAAGGTGTCAGTTATCAGTGACATATATCTTAGCTAATTTGAACCGAGAGATATTAAAACACTCTTGATGATTATCTTTTTTTTTTTTACATATGCAACAATAATAGATACTAAAGTGCATGCTAATATAGTTAATGGCATGGAATTATAACTTTTGAAATGTATGTCAGACAGGTAATTTGGTCGGTTTGGACAATACGTAAAGGCAGGACATGTCATTTTTAAATAATATGTTCAGTGATCAGGCTCTTTTTAGCCTCTTTTCTACACTCCTTTTGTTGTAACCAAGGCAAATTGGATTGTCTGACATGAACTGAGGTAATACCGATGGAAGGAAAACCGTATTGATGATCTGCTTGGATTTGATTATTGATTTTTCTTTTAAATCACCAGAAAGTCACATTCTAGAGAAGAATGACTTGTTGAATTCCTGCGCTTCATCACCACCAAGAAAGGATCACCATAGCAACAGGAAAAGTCTATGCATTGTGAAAGTACTCACAAGCTGAACAAGATCATGGTTTAAGATAATGTCCCAGCAGCATGGCAAAGTGCCAGCCAGAGCTGGAGAGGGAAGGATGCGGGATTTCTACAGTAACAAAGAAATTTAAAAAGAACTAATATTGAAAATGTGAAATGTATAGGAATTTAAGGCTAATAGGAAGTGCAAGACAGTGAATTGAGAAGCTGTACAGCTCATTTGTCTGGGGAGCAAATCCACAAGGTTTCTTATGGATAAATCCCTGATCTAGTCTTTAAAGGTAAACTGTCAAGTGACTGGTGTGTGTCATTATGATTTTCTTTAGCCTTTCTGATAGGACATCCAAAATGTTTTGCAGCTAGTAGGAGCTGTCCACGCAGTGACTACATAAAAGAGCTTAAAGCAAACATTTCATATAGGTCACTTGTCAGGCAGAACCTGCTTAACTTCTACTAATTATCTGCAAGGTCTGATCCAGCACTGCAGTCTAGAGGTGAAATGATCATTACATTTGCTGTCTGGTATATCTGTTCTATCTGTAACAAATGTGGATAGAGCCTTCCCAAATCTTCGTTCGCGAAGCCTAGCCATGATATCTGTTCTATTTAGACACTTATCTTTGATCTACTTCTGTAACATTTTTCAATCCTCAAAGTTCAATTCCACAGTATTTGAGAAGCAAATCTACAAACATATGCTTAACTCAAAATATGAATAAGGATGCATGCAGAGTATGTCACTGAATGAGATTTAAACCATATGATACTTCCCACAAAAATTTTCCTGATTTCTACTTTTCACTGTGAACCCCCGATCCTCAACTCTCATGTTTTGTTAAGAACTATTTAAAATTAAATAGGTAAAATAACAATAAAAATTACAGATAAAAGCTTGTTTGAAATAAGAAACCCTTCACATAGTAACTGCTGCTTTCAAAGTCATGTTCTTTGCAACCATTGTTTTGTGGCAAAGTGTGAGTGGTTTTTGCTTTAGCATCACTACAAGTGTTTCTGTGAATTTCAAAAGAGCTTTTTATCTTTGTCCCTTCAGCCAGTTTAGTGAAGGAGTAAATTCACACTGAGAGTACTGAGACTATTCCAGTTCTGGTACAAATGGGAACCACTACTTACTTGGATTCTTCCATCTTCTCTCTAGACATGATTCGTGTTAGAAAGTCTTCATCAGAGTTTCAGAAATGTAAAAAGTCCTCACTGAAAACTGCTAATTTACTAATGCAAAGTCACACTAAGCCCGAACATTTTCATTTCATCAAGACCATTTTGATGACTTACATGTTATGACTTTGATGACTCAAGTTACACAGTCTACAGTTTATATTTTCTTCTGTGACTAAAACAGAACTAGCTATGTCAGACCACCACAGATACTTTTACAAAGACCGAGTTGTTCTTACTGATACTGATAAATGAGTTGCTGTGATACCTCCTCTTTGTATAATGGAAATGTCACTCAGAGTGAAAGTCAGGTGTTTCTCACCAACACCTGAATATCCTCTCACTCCTGAACCAGTGAAACATCACTCCCTTGCTGTGAAATTTCTGCCTACCGTACCTCACCTGATATTGTTGCTTTCTTCTAGTGTTCCTCACTAGAAGTCTTTGAAGCAATATAATCTTTTCTCTCTACTGCTGTGGATCACTGGAGAGGAAAAAAGGAGGGGTCCTAGGTCACAGTCTTACTAAAGCTAATCATCACCAAAAATGAAGCTGGGTCACTTGGACTCTGTCTGCCCACGACTTGAAACAGTTAAGTCTGGCTGTGGCAGTGAGACTTATTTTTTACTGGCAGAAGTTAACAGACAGATTGAGCCAACGTAATAGCACACTATATGTCCCCTGATATCCTTCATGCTGTCTCTGTGATTGAGTACTACAATTAATCCAGAAGAAAAACTATAAATCGTAACCTGTCAGGTCGACAAAGTTCACAAGACAAAACTGAGCCAACACAAGGTCAAGCATAATAGCATGTGGCAAGGACAAACAGGAACTTCTTCTTTGAACTGCAGGAACTATTAGGAACAGTGTAAATATCGTGAATAAACCTCACCATTGTCTTTTACTAGCTTGCAGTCAAAAGAAGTGTAAGGAAAAGCAACGAACAAAAATTAACAACCAAAACCCATTGCATGCACAAGATTCACAGAAGCAGTACGTACTCAAGAAGTTTATGGCATACTTTTTAAAGACATGATCCAGTGAGGAATTCTTCAGAAATATGCTTTTATAGAAAGAACAGCACAGTTCATAACTTTTGGGTAAAAATTGATCTAATAATTTCAGAAAAAAAAGGAACTACTAATTTGTGATTAAAAAAATAAAAGTAAAAAATACCATGTTATAAATGGAGAAGAGGCATACTGAAATCTTACAATGGCATGGCATGGCAGCAAGGTGGGAATGATAGGTTTTAGAGCATGATACTGCTTGTGTCAGTGTTTGGGAACCTCAGCTTTGGAATGTCTGTTTCTTCTTACAAACCCCTGCCCAATTTCTCTACTGAAGAGCTGAAAGGAAGTGCTGCAAGGAGTTCCTCAACATTACAAGAAAAAAGGCCTCAACCAAAATCCCCAGAAAAATCACAAAAAAACAAACCCCAAAGGTATGGCCTTGATACATACTTCTGAGAAAGATATACATACCTGCCCACTCTCCTATAAAAACTGGCATATAGATGCATCCCAAAACACAATAGGCAAAGACTAATCGGTATCAAAATCATTATGGACCAAGTTTTTCCTCTAGAATTTTAATTTTATACCACTGCAAACCCATCAGCTTTGCCCAAATAGGTTCTAATTTACACTTTACAAGTGAAATCAGAATGAGAACAAAATACAAGAGTCATCAATGTACACCTGACCCTATAAATCTAAAGGGAACCTGACACTCAAGAATCAGAAGAGAAGAAAAGCTCTCTAAAGTTAGGCACAATATTTTCAAGAGCTGTCAGTTGCAAAGCAGAATGAGGTTGCTGGGATCAGCAAACTGTTTTGTCTTTCCAGCATTTTCAGCACAAGATGAATGCCACCATGACTAATGGAATTTCCTATTAAATATGGCCTAAGGAAAGCAGACATTTCAGAAAACAAATCAGCACTTTACATAAATGTATTTATGCCTAAAATTAGATTTACTGTTTTGGTATGAAGCTGACTGCAATATACTCATTTATTAGGAATATACATAAGAAATGCTACTGTACCTTAGTTATATGTACTTGCAACCTTTTGCTGACTACACACCCAATACTAGACAGAAAGTGCTATCACAGCAGCTAGGTCAAAACTCAACATTCAAATAGTGTAAGATTTACAGAAAAGAAAAATAAAGCATAATATGAAAAAAAATGGCAATGAAAATACTGTAACTGCATTTAGAAGTGGTGGCAATTCTCTGTCTTTCCATCTTTGCATTTCCTACTGTGATTATACCCTACAGTAACCTATCAATCACTTGCTCTCTGTTTTGTTTCTCTTTACAGAGGAAGGCAGATGGATTTCTTCTCTGAACTCTCCACTTAGTTAATGTGATGTGAATCCCAGCTTACCTGAGTCTAAGTGCCATGGGTCAGTAGCGGCCGACATTGGTGGGATGGTGAGAGGAGATGCCCCGCAGTTGGATTCCACCAGTTCTCCTTTGATGTGAACGTGAGAGGAGGCGTTGGTTGGTCTCAGAGCTGCTTTGAGCGGAGCAATCTGGTTGAACTGTACTCTTGATAGACAGCCTGTGAACCCTGGGGTGTTGTATTTATATATATCTTGGTCAATCTTCCCAATTTCTATGGGAAATTGAAGAGAGAAAAAAATTAATCAAAACAATCCATTGCTTTTGAAAGCACAGTTGGTCTGAACACTTAGATTCCCAGAGCATAGTGCCCAAGTCTGTCTCTCAGGGATACTGAGACCATGTCATACCTTGGCAGGTTTTCTTCACATTTCATTATAGATATAAGCTGGAAACCTTCAGGCCTTGGTGTGATTCAGTTTCACTGCTATGCTATCATTAAAATGAAAGGCTGGCATGTAGGAGTCAGTGAAGGAGTCATCAAAGAACAAAAGGGAAGGGAAAAAAATCCTTTTCCTGAGAAAAGTGGTGGAAGAGAAGGCAGAACATCCATGGCTGGGGTCTCTCCTCCCAGCTGAGGCTGCTGCTGAGAGAGATGCCCCTTCCTTAACCCTGGCCTGTTGCCCTCTAGCTCCTCTCAGTGGGCCTGGTCACTCCTGTCCCCCTCCTGTCTACTTGCCTGGAGACCAAGTCTCCCTTCTCTTGAGTACCAAGCATCCCTTCACCAGAGAGCCAAGGATCCCTTCACCAGAGGACCATGTGTCCCTCTGATCTGCGGTGGAAAACCACCACCTCCAGTATCCTGCAGTAGTGAGAAGTGGCAGGAGCCCATCCACCCTTGCTAGAGGTCAGGGAGGGGCAGCCCTTATGCTCCTGTGCCTTTGCAACCGAGGCTATGTCAGCTGAGACCCTGCTGTCGGTCACTTGGCTGCTGTGGGCTGACAGACAAGCTGGCAGCTGGCATCTGTGAGCTGAGCACAGGGCTATGCTGCCACTCTTCAGAACAGCTGCTGTCTCTCAAAGTCACTCCCCAGGTAGTTTTATCCCATCTAAAACACCAGTTAAGATAACCCCAAAATCATGCAAAATGTGACACATATACTATCCAGCAACCTGCAGGCTTGCTCCCAGCTGTTTTAATTCTGCCAGGACCTGTTGCAACAGCCTGAGTCACAACCTAAACAAAACTGTTACTCTCTGTCAGCCGTCTGCATTAGAGGGGTATTAACATTTCAAAGCCTCTCTGCAGTGTCTAATATCCTATTTACATGGCAGTGGGGAATTTGGCTTCCTTTCTTGTATGGTAGCAAGAGAATGAATGAAAAGGACACATGGAAACATCGTGTTTGTGCTGTACCAGGGACTATTGCTCCAGAGCCACCAAGACACTTCCAACCACCTTTCCTGGGGTTGGCAGGTTAATGCCTGTCCCTTGAAGTTAGTGGAAAAAGTCATACTGAGCTGAGCAAAGCAACATGGTATCCCAGTGACAGAGAAAAGGGAACAGTCCCCTTCAAAAGCAACATTTTCAGACAGGAACGATGATACAGGTTTAAAAAAATTATGTTTTTGGAAAAAAAAAGCCTGTAAATAACAGGATTGTGTCATAAAAAAGAAAGAAAGGAAAACAGAGGCAGGAAAGAGAAGCTTCTTCTTAGAGGTGTGAGGAGAAAGTGGAAAGTACTTTGGGGATGATCTGGGAATCAAAGCACATCTGGATTTTTCTACAAAAATTATCAAATCAGAATTATTAGAAAATGCATTACTAATCTTTTGGAAGTGTCTGTGTTCAGTTCTAACCAAACCAGGATCAATTATATGAGGTCTGTGCCTTTTACTGGGGGTTCCCTAAAAACTACTGTGATATACATGTCAGTATATTCCTAAGAGTACTGAGAGCTCTGCATCAGTGATATGTACAAGGAGTTTCGAGGTTACAAACCAGACTGGCCATTTCAAAAATGCTTTATTTTTGGGATTTACACATTAAACATGAAGTGGGAGAAAATGGGTGGAAACTGATCAAATCTTGATCACGACCAAAACAGCTTCTTGGTTTTCACACAGAACTAAGGTATACTGTTTCTGTCTTTGCAATCATATTAGCATGATAAACATACAACATTTAAGTCCCCTCCACACCCAGCATAAGGCAAAAAACTAAGAAGCATAATGTGAAAATTACTTGCATTAGATCCTTATATGATCGGCTATACAAGAATGGATTTTCTATTCCCCTCATTTTCCCTTTCCTTTCTTGTTTGAGAATATCCTTTCTCTGCTAGTGCTTATCCAGCCTGTATCAATGTTATAGCCACATTTCACAAGCTGGCAGTGAGCAGTGACTGTCACCTGTGACTAAGTGGAAACATCCTCAGGACTCAACTAGAGACCAGCTTAAATGCTTATAATAATTGCATTATGCTTGTCTTTCATCCATCTCTCCTTTAAAAAAGTAGTTTGACGAAACCATCAGGAATATCTCCTTCAAAAATTTTATAGTAAGAACTCACACATGCACGCACACTTTCCATAGTTAGCAGAAAAGCTGTACAAAAGCCAGAGTTCATGCATTTGAATGCTACCTGTACACCACATCACAGACAAGGTTCCTATCTGACCACTTACTTCCTATCTGATCTCTTACTTCAATAAAGTATTCATGGAATATTCAGTGAATAGCCGCAATTCTGAAAAATCCTTATAATCTAAGAAACAATTACAACAAGACCATATTTCTCTTTAAACACTGTAACCATTGTTGTTAACAGTTTAGTGATTTCATTCACATTTTTATATATTCTGTGGATCTTCATGTAGAAGCTAATAGCCTCCCACTCACCAGTTCTGAATGACAGGAACAAAGAGCCATGAATGTGATTGTGCTTCAGCAGCTTCAGATTTAGCAGCTTCAGCACCATCCTTCTTTAACTCCATAAATAACTGACAGATACTAGATCTTGAAAGAATTAAAAAATACCACCCCCCCCAACAAGGCACCTTGCTGAAGTCCTGCATTTTTTTTTAAAACATTCCACAAGTAATGGCTGTGCAAGTCACCCCATGCAAATTTACCACGAGCTTGCATCCCATCAATGCTAAAACAATACAGATCGACTTCTATGACTGTACACGTGTTCTTTCCCATGCACGTCCCACAAGGCTCTACACACTGATACTCTCTGATGTTAGGTCATTATACTTTGTCTCCTTGTGTATTTGAGCCTGCTATAAACCTGTTCCTGGGGAGTGTAATGATTGCATAATGAAATATGTCTTTTTTCTCATGACTAAAATTCAATTTTCTCCCTATAACATAGAGGGGAGAAAAAGAAAAGATTATTATAGTCACATTATTTTAAAAAAGGAAATGTGCAATGCAACTATTTTGCATTGTTCTAATTTTCAGCACATAAGCTAGTGCAAAGTCATATAAATATTACAGTATATAGTATTATTATTACCTAATAGAAAAATTTATATTATTGCTTTCAGATCTGATGCAGCAATTTCCTGCTGGCAACTTACCCTCAAGCACTTCTGTAATGAAAGACTTCAAAAAAGACAACTTATAGGCCCTTTTTTACTTCAACTGGTTTTAACCATTTGCTGCCTAGACCACATAACGTGCTGACTTGAGATGCAGACCATGACTACGAGACCACTCGGATGAACTCATTCTAGCACAGACACCTTGCAGTATACAAATCATTAACACTGAACATACACACAGGAACTATGCAATTGCCTACCCAGGTTACTTAAACATTTTAAAAATATATATAACTAGCACACAGTATACCAAAAAATCTCACAGATGTTGCCCTATATCTTCTGTGTTATTCACCAGAGATACATTTAACATCAATTACTTGTTCTTTATGTTTTGTTATTTCTTTATTAGTAAAAAGATACAGGAATTTAATCCTCAGTTACTCATTTTGATTTCAGGGCTTACTTCCCATGGTTGTGGCAGAAACACACCACATACTGATGAAAATAATACCATTTCTGTACTGAAAATTACGTGCTACTACAGAAGAAGCTCTTTATCACCTAGGTGAAAAGATGTAAAGAACATTATTTTCAAGCATATTTATGACACAAGGCACCATTAATGAGTACCCAACAAGTTGAAATTGGTTATTCTATGAATCTAGAAGAAAACAAGCAATAATAAATTGTATAGAAGGAAAAATTGTGGAAAAGTAACAAATGTATAGAGCCTGTACATAAGTAACAAATGTGTAAGTAGCACATAATTACATTAATCAGTGTAATTAGGTTATCTGGTTTTTAAGCCTTTTCGCTCTTACTACATTACCTGTAGGTGCAGAGCTGTGGCTCCTGCCTAGGCAGTATTACAAGACAAACAAATAAACAGTTTGATTCAGATTATTACCCATGTTGATCTGGCTAGCATGCATCTGATGAACTACTTGTAGAAGCAGATACATTGCCAAATATAGCTTTTTATCTACTCTTTCTCTCCCTTTTCTACTTTCCATACCTATCAGTAAAAGATTTATAGAGTAGCTTACAGGGCCACAGCATTTCTAATAGCACAAAAAGTTATTGCATTGCTGGAGAGGTCCAGCTCCACTTAATTCTACCATCTATTTTTTATACATTCTTGTAGCATCACTTAGAAAGACAAAATGACAGCCTGATATAGCAGAAAAACAGATCATGTGTTTGGTCCCATAGCCCTGAGCAGGTTTTGGACAGAGGAAGAGCTGCTTTTTATTTATGTAAAGTTCCCCACGTCGGGATCCTAGAACATTTCGAATGTGCACAAGGCTCTGCAGCACAAAGCTGTGCAGTCCAGCACAGTACTCTGCCATGCCAGTATCGTCATGCCACATGTGGAAAGATGGCCTTGGACTGTATTATACATGGACCTTGGAAAGGGGGAGAGAAGTCAGCCACAAAGAAAGAGGGACACATTCCCACTGCAAATCTTTATAAACCTACAAAACGTTTTTACTAAATGTGTGTGCTGAGCATCTTTGCTGAATATCTTCTCTATTCTAGCTGATCTCTGCATTTTTTTTCTTGATGGGCTCTGAAATGCATATCAATACAGAAGGTTATAATAAATTCTGAACCTTGCACAGTGTTCCTCACATACAGAGAGGATCCAGATATCTATTTACTGTGAATTATGTTCCATTAGGAAGGAAATGTAACAGAACTTGAAGTACAGTTTGTGGG